CCCACACCTTGGGTGCCTGAAATCACTGGTTTGGGGCTGACCGTGGTGGCCGGGGGTGGGGAGGGTTGGGGGGTGGAGGGGTGGTTTGTAGGAAAAGCGACAGTTTGGATTCAGGAATCCAACTTGGGTTGGACTGCATTCTTACTCCTTCCTTCAGGCTTTGTAAGCTTGTTGGGGTGAATAATTTAATCTTCCTGACAGGGAAGGATTCAGGGACACTGAGTGAATCTCTCATCTCCTTCCAGCCTTGTGGGGAAACCAAAGGAAGAATGTAGAAAGATCTGTTTTTAAAATGCATCTATATATCAAGACCAAGAAAATACAATGAAATGTTCTGAAAGAAAGGCTTTTTCAGATAGGCACTCAAAAAAGGGGCTGGGTCATCCCTAGTACAGGGCCATAAGCTGCTAGAAGTCAAGTTGAAGTTTGGTCAAACCTCTGAGTGCAGTTGCTGGAACAGAGAGTCCACGTAGATAGTGTCTGTAGTTCTCACCATACAGAAAAAACAGTCTGGATATTCATATTTCAGAATATGATTATTTCTTGATAATAGAATTCATTTTGTGTAGGTATTTTTAAACTATGACATTGTAGCAATAATATTAGTATTTCAAATAATTTCTTTTTATTTATGAAGTTCCTTACATACATCCATATTTTTCCCATACTTATTTTTTTAATTATAAGAAATTTGAAATATATACATAAGTAAAGAGAATAGGATAACAAATGCTCATAATCAGTAATTCTCAATAGTCATCCACATGTGGCCAGTCTTGTTTTATCTTCCAACTCTGGTCCTGCCTCTCCCCTCTTCACTTAGATAATGTTTAAATAATATATTATTTGAAGACCTATCACTGCATCTGAATGAACTTCAATAGCTATCTCTCTTAAAGTAATCTTTCCACTCAAAATGGGACTTGAACTCATGACCCCGAGATCAAGTTCTGTGGCTGAGCCAGATAGGTGCCCCCACCCATAAAAAATTCAACCTAGGGACGCCTGGGTGGCTCAGTTGGTTAAGCAGCTGCCTTCGGCTCAGGTCATGATCCCAGTGTCCTGGGATCGAGTCCCGCATCGGGCTCCTTGCTCGGCAGGGAGCCTGCTTCTCCCTCTGCCTCTGCCTGCCATTCTGTCTGCCTGTGCTCGCTCTCTCTCCCTCTCTTTCTGACAAATAAATAAAATCTTTAAAAAAAAAAAAAATTTCAACCTAATACCAAGATCAGCAGCTCCCTCTGTTTTCAGATTTTCCAAGCTGTCTCAGAGTTTTTATTTTTTACAGTTGATTTGTTCGGTATAGGGTCCAAACAAGATCTGCCCATTGATGTATTCTTATTTATGTATGTGTGTTTTCGTAATACAGATGAGAGAAACAAGATTCAAGGAAGTTAATAAGAAACTTGTCTAGGGGTGTCTGGTGGCTCAGTTGGTTGGGCATCTGCCTTTGGCTCAGGTCATGATCTCAGGGTCCTGAGATGGAGTCCTGCTCCACCTCCCTGCTCAGCGGGAGGTCTCCTTCTCCCTCTGCTCCTCTCTCTCGCGGGCTCACTCACTCTCAAATACGGAAATAATAAATCTTTTTAAAAAATTAAAATGAATGAATGGGAATCCTGGGTGGTTCAGCTGGTTAAGCCTCAGACTCCTTGGCTCAGGTCATGGTCTCAGGGTCCTGGGATGGAGCCCTAAGGTGCTCTGGCCTCAATAGGAGCAGGGAGTCTACATGAGAGATTCTCTCTCCCTCTGCCTCTCCCCACTTCTCTCTCTAAAAATATATAAGTAAATTAGTAAATAAATGAAATGAAAATGCCCTAGTGGTTACTATGAGGAAGACTCATGTTCTTAGGCCAAAGACACTTTTAAGTGCTTATAATCACAGGAACCTCCCTCCACACCTCCATCCATCCATTCCATCCCTTGTCCATGCCCCTCCCACTTACAGGAAGAACTGCCTTTGCGAGCTAGAGTCCTCTCCACTGTCCCTTCCCAGAGCTAATGCGGGTTTCCCTCCTGGAATGGTTCTCTGCTCAAATGAAGGGGCGTTAGTGGAGGCTGCTGCTGCAGGTAAGCCTGGATATGGGAGGATGTGGGTGCAGGAGGCTGGAGCGGGAAGATCTATGGGCCCCTGAGGAAGATCTATGGGCCCCTGAGTTAGTACCTGGAAGAGACTGCGCCTGGAGAGCGCACCTGGTCAGGAATGACACTCGGGCTTGGCTTATTTCAAATCATGTGTTAAGTGTTCCCTCTCTCTCAAACAACCTTGTACGGAATCACCTGAAATGCTTGCTACACACACAGTACCCAGGTTCCACCCTGTCCTAAAGGGGAATTAATATCTGTGTGTGACAAAGCCCAGAGAGGGGTGGGTCTGACGTTGAATGTGGAACTCTATACAGGATGTCTTGGTGAAAAGTGGTTTGTGGTGGGGAAAGTGGAGGGCTAAGAGCCATGGGCCTCTGTACGCCTGATTCTGAAGCCCTGCGTGTCCATGGTCTTTAACCAATCTGCTTTCTTAACAGAGCAGACTTAAGTCTCAGGTTAAGTAGTTTGCCCCAAGTCACAGCTTGTAAAGGGAGCACCAGGAATCTAATTAAATAAACATTTAATGAGTTCCTGAGCTGGATGTTTAAAGGTCATTTAGGATAAATAAGGATACAGCCTTACTGTTTCTGGTGGTTAGTGTGGAAGACAGCATGACCTCAAAGAAAACCACAACACTAAGATTTCCAGAGGGACGTGTCTGATATGAACCTTGAACCTAGGGTATTGAGGACAGACGGGATGTGTGAGATCTGAGGGAAGAGGAGGAAATGGGCCAGAGCTTTGCTGGACCTTAGTCAGCAGTATGCCAGTGTTGTGGGGCCAGAGCTTGGTCAACTTGGAGAAAGTGAAGAACTGAGGCTGGAGCTAGCTTGGGGCGAGGGGAGGGTGGCAGATAAAGGGTCAGACCATGGGCGGGGGGGTCTTGCGGGCCCAGTAAAGGATTGGGGTAACTGAGCACTCTCTAAATCCTGCACCTGTGTAAGCAGAGGCAGAAATGCCAGGAGCATGGTTCCCCCATGCTCCAGGTCACATGGCCATCCTGAAGTGTCTACAAGTCTGAAACTCAAAAAGCTATAAAATAAGTCTTTGATAAATTAGGTGCAAAATGTATTTGGCAAAACTTCATGCACAACTTCGTCTGACATGAAACTTTTTATAACCTATAAAGGATGGTTTTAATTATTTTACTTGGTTTGGGTTTCCCATCCCAAAATACGCTCTTTCACAGCGTAAGGATTTTTTTCAAGCTAATTACTTTTGAAAAACAGCAAATGCTGGAGAATCCTTAAAAATAGAATAGATTTTGCCCCTTTGTGAGGGAAATTTAAATTCCTCAGAGAAATACCCATTTGTAAGGGTTTCTTGATCTCTATCAGGAAGAGGGGCAGGACTAAATCTCTGGAAACCCTTATCTTTGGAGAGTAGGATTCAAATCTGCCTAACCTTGACCTTGTTTACTCTCTTTTGCCTGATAACTTCAAACTGTCCCCCACCCCCAACACCTTTTGTCTAGCTGGGGATGGTTTTTAAGATGGTGGCTTGGGCCATTTGGGGGAGTTTTGCTCTGTATCTCCCTTGTGTACAGGATGTATGTATATTATAAAAATTACGTTTGTTTTTTTGTGTTAATACATCTTTATGATTAGTGTGGAGTCTTGGCCAAGAACCTAGGAGAATAGAGGGAAAATTGTATTTCCTCCCCTCTAGGACCAAAGATGAAAAAAGCAAACCAAATTTGGTATATGTGAATTCTGAGCCATCAGAGAAACTATGTTTCAAGCTTCAAAATTGAGGAGGTTTCCTTAAATTCTGTAATCTCATAAGACAAAAATTTATAGTGTTGTTAGAGTCCTACTTACCTGATTCTAAGAGTTTGGGATTATAGGGGAGAAAAATTATCCCTGTCCTTTTAGGTCCTATGCCTAGTCTAAGAATTGAGGTAGAATAGATTAACAGGAAAAATTTTAATTATGTATTTGTGCATGGGAATGTCACAAAGATAGACTCAAAAGACCACCATGAGATTGAGACTTCATACCATCCAGAGATCAGGAAAAGAGCTAGGGCCTTGGGACTTCTGGCATTGGGGAGGCAACTCTTAGGAAGATGAGTGAGAAAAAAATCTGTGGTAAACAAAGGTTGTTATGTTACACACATAAGTTTCTTACATGAAAAAGTTCTCTCTAGTAATAGCTCTCTTTTTACTAAGGACCTCATATAATGTAAATTCCCTGTTTACAATTGCAGATTTCCCCCACAAATGGGGAAATTATTTTTTGAAGCCAGTCAAGATGGAGGTAAAAGGCCTTTCCTGATTGAGTCTTGATTGCCTTTATCTCTAAATAATTCACATACTAATGGCATGTAAAATGAATTCCTCCAAGTTACACCAATAGGTGACCAAGGCTGTGCCTTAATTTGGGTGTTACACAACACATCTTCCTGTCCCAGAGCTCATGAGCTTTCCACAACCCAACTTGGGGTTAATGGGAGGTTGATGGGATGCAGAGATTGTGGTACCGGGTGGGTAGGAACAGATGGGGCATAAAAATAAAGGGATGGGAACAAAAGACTGGGGTTAGTAAAGGATAATCAGACTAGACACTGGTAAGTGGGTAGGACCCCCTGAAACAAATCCAGAGTTTATTTTGCTTTAAGGAAGTAGTATCTTCTCTGTAGTAATTAATGATGTGAGGAAACAATTCTCCTGGGAGAGCTGCTTATTAGCTTGGCTTTATTTTCTATTTCCAGAGGCTGAAGAGTAGTTGTCTAGCTGAGTTATGACTGGCTACAGACTCAGAGGAGCTCCTCGTGGCAGCTGGAATTAAAAGGCCTGAAGATCATACTTAGGAGATTCCAGTAGAGCACGGCCAGAGATTTTAGGATTCCAGTTCTCACTGTGGGGCCCACGCTCCTGAAGAAAACCCACCTCAGTCCAGGTCTTCATTCACAGCCCAATGGCAGTCCCAGCAGCCCTGGCAGGACTCCAGGCAGAAGCCAACTGTCCTGTCTGTCTGGATTACCTCAGAGACCCCGTCACCACCGAATGTGGGCACAACTTCTGTCGCTGCTGCATCCAGCGGTCCTGGGCTGATCTCAAGGACAGGTTCCCATGCCCCGTGTGCCGTCACGCATGCCAGGAGAGGCACTTGAGGAGCAACACCCAGCTGGGAAGGATGATTGACATTGCCAAGCTTCTCCATATCACCAGGACCAAGAAGAGGAGGCCGGAAGAGAAACATTTGTGTGAGAAGCACAACCAGGTCCTGACCCTCTTCTGTGAGGAGGACCTCGAGGTGTTGTGTCCCAAGTGCACACAGCCCCCTGACCACCAGGGCCACTTGGTGAGGCCCATGGAGGAGGCCGCCTCTCATCACAGGGAGAGGCTCAGCCGTTACATTGAGCCCTTGAAGAAGCAGATGGAAAATGTTCAGAAATTAATAAACATTCAAAGCAAAAAACCCTTAGAGCTGAAAGAGAAGGTGGAAAATCAAAGGCAGGAATTACTCTCTGAATTTGAGTGCTTGAAGCAATTTTTAGACCGTGATCAAGAAGCCGTTCTTTTGAGGCTAGCCGATGAAGAGAAAGACATTCAGCAGAAACTCAATGCGAACATCACCGCATTTTCAAACTACATCTCCATACTCAGAGGTCTGCTTAGTAAAGTAGTTGAGAACAGTGCGCTGTCTGAAGTGGAATTGCTGTCACAAATTAAAAATTTCTACAGGAGGTCTGAGGATGAGATAAGTCCATCAATTTTCTCAATCCAGTTAAGAAGGGAAGGCTGCAGCTTTCCTCCCCAGTATTCTGCTTTGCAGAAAATTATAAACAAATTTAGAGTAGACATTATCCTAGACCACGAGACTGCACACCCTAACTTGATTGTCTCAGAGGATAAGAAATATGTGACGTTTTCGAAGAGAAAACAGAGTGTTCCTCATTTTCCAAAAAGGTTTATAGCCAACACAGTTGTCTTGGGTTTTCCATATTTTTATTCTGGCAGGCATTACTGGGAGGTAGAAGTGGGAGACAAATCTGAATGGGCTGTGGGGATTTGCAAAGACTCCCTTCCCCCAAAGGCCAGGAGATCTCCGCAGGCCTGGCAGGGCTGTTGGGTGATTCAGCGACAGGAAGATGGGTATGAGGCGGTGGGAGCCACGGCAACTGTGCTGCTTTTGGCTGTGAACCCCAGAGGCATTGGCATTTTCTTGGACTATGAGCTGGGTGAGATCTCATTTTATAACAGGACTGAAAAATCTCACATCTATACTTTCACTGACACTTTTACCAGACCTCTTAGGCCTTATTTCTATGTGGGACCTGATTCAAAACCTCTCAGGATTTGTATGGGGACAGATTGTGAATGAAAGCTGCCTGGATCATCTTCATAGTTAGTTTTAAAGAATGGAAGGTGGATGGGCTATTGTATTAATATGCCAGTAAAGCTAATCTTTCCACTTCCCCCAGTTTTTTTTCTTTCTCAGTTTAATCCAAGAAGAAAGTTTTATTGTTTCAACAATTCTCTAAAAAACAGTAATGCCTCTCTCCAGGAATGTCACAGGGGTTTGCTGGGTCTGTGGGTGATTAAGTTTGTCAAAATGTAGATGGAGTTTGCAAGGGATTAATAACCAAAACAACTGGTCACCTTCACCTCAGCTCTGAATTTGTGCTACTAAAACATTGTGCTCAGGGCGTGTGGGTGGCTTAGTCAAGCGGTTGTCTTCCGCTCAGGTTATGATACCACAGTCCTAGGATCAGGCCCTGCCTCGGCCTTCCTACTCAGGAGGGAGCCTGCTTCTCCCTCTCCCTTTGCCTGCTGTTCCGCCTATTTGCACGATCTGTCAAATAAAAAAGTCTTAAAAAACTGCTTCCTGTCATGTACAAGTTGTGTACTAGACAGGAGCCGATTGTAACCTTGGTTTTCTCTAAGTGCCCAATTTGAAGGGGTTGGGGGTGGGCATCAGAGAGAGCCTTTAAAATACCAGGGTTTGACAGCTTTTCCCCTTACCCCAAGGGGCCAGCTGCTGGTGGCACTCACTACATCTGCTTTTTTAGAAACCCTTTACATAGTTTTCATTTCATTCTAAATTGTGCCCCCCCTTTTTAAAAGATTTTATTTATTGAGAGAGAGCACAAGCAGGCTCCCCATTGAGCAGGGAGCCTGATGGGTGGCTTGATGCTGGGACTCTGGGATCATGATCTGAGCCAAAGGCAGACCCTTAACGATTGAGCCACCCAGGTGCCCCTAGATTCTTTGTTCTTAGGCATTGTGTTTTATAACATGGTGACTTCGACATTGTGGAGAATTGGAAAGTCTTAATAATAACAGATATAGTTAGATACCATGCCAGAGAATAAAATGGATCACCAGGTAGTAAAAACTACTCAGGAATGATGGCATATTTATTTTTATTCAGCATTTTCTTACAAGTGTAACTTGTACTGAGCCCTTACTGTGTCTCAGGAGTTAACATTTTTTCAAAGCAAATGCTGAGTGGAAGGCTATGCTGTTAAGGATGCCTGCTCCTGTTTAACTCTCGGACACTACTAAATTCACCAGAGGGACCTAGGTTCTGCTCATTTTCTATGATGGACTTAAACTAATTACAAGTTGTAGATAATACTTACTTTGCATGATGATGAAATTTTATATGTATGTGTGTATGCTCCAAAGTTTCATATCTTTCCCTGTTTTGAATTGTACATCATTTCCTCTTTTTTTTTCTTCTACCCAAAATCTTTATATTTTTTAAGAAAATAGACATAATGAATGTGTGAGTCCTATTTTAGAGCTTGATTTGAACAATTGAAAAAGACATTTCTGACTCAGGGAAGTGGGAATACGGTGGCATGTTAAAGATATGCTTAATTTTTTTTTTTTAAGATTTTATTTATTTATTTGACATCACGAGCAGGCAGAGAGGCAGGCAGAGAGAGGAGGAAGCAGGCTCCCTGCTGAGCAGAGAGCCCGATGCGGGGCTCCATCCCAGGACTCCGAGATCATGACCGGAGCCGAAGGCAGTGGCTTAACCCACTGAGCCACCCAGGCGCCCCGATATGCTTAATATTAATATTAATACATGATTCAGGAAATGTTCTTATTAGAGATTCTGGTGAAATACAATCCGTGCAGTTTTGTTTTTATAATTTACATTTATAAAGAACACCAGCAAAAAAAAAAAAAAAAGGACAGACTGCAATAAATGAAGCCATATATGACAAAATGCCGATTAACTGTGGAATCTAGGTGATGGTGTATGGACATTTCACTTCATGTGCTTTTTCTATAACTTACTTTAAAATGAAAAGAACAAGCAAAGGTGATTTCTGTTTGTGTTCTGGGGTAAGGTTTCTGGTTCCACCTGAAGTTTGAAAGGGTGCATTTGCAGTTGAATGAACCTGTTTATTCCTCCATCTTGTCTAAAGTAGTTATGTGGATTTTGGCTAGTTCCAAGTTTCATGAAAAACAGGCTCTTACTGAACTACAAATATTAACTGTCCATTTCCTTTGAAAGAATGCAGATTGGATATCTTTGGAGCAGTTACCTTTGAGGTGGGTGGCCTGATGGGCCTGTCTGTTCAAGTGGGCACTCTCTATTGGCTTTATATATATATTTTTAACTGCAGTAGTATAACAAAAGATGCTTTTCATCTTCTGTTGTCTGTTGCCTAATTTTATATATATGAATTATGATGAACTTCTCAAGATTACATTTTGCTGTCCTTTGGTTTTCAATAGAACAACTTTTTTTAGAAAGGGAGATTGCGGGGGTGAGGAGGCAAAGAGGGGAGAGACTCTTAAACGGGCTTCACGCCCAGTGTGGAGCTTGATCTCAGAACCCAGAGATTATGACCTGAAGTCAAGAGTAGGACTTTTAACCAACTCTTAACCTACTAGTGACCCAGGCACCCCTGGACGACAACTTTGGCAAATTCCCTGGTGATATAACATGGTTATTCCAATAAAAAAAAAATGATAGGCATATAGAAATTATTGGTGTAACCTTCCATGTACACACACTAACTGTGTAACATTTTTGTGTATAATTGTAGTGATGACTAAATACATAAACAGTATATATAAAATCCTTTTTATGTGAACTAATTTGTAACAAGGCCAATATTAGGGGCAGAAAGATTGGAAGAAAGCGGACTGTAAGGAGCCATCCAAGTATATTAGGATTTAAATACAATGGGAAGCCACTGAGGGACTTGAATCAGGTAACTGGGTGCAGTCAGCTTTCTCACTGGCTATATCACTCTGATATTCAGATTAGTGGTGTGAGTTGGAGATCGAAATTGAGGAGTCCTCCGTAAATGCTTAGAAACTGAAGCACTGGGAGTAGGTAAGAAAACTTGGGAGAAAGGATATAGTTTGAAAATGACAGTTCATAGGACTTGCCGAGAAGCCATCAGAAGACAGGAGCAAGAACTAGGAAGATAGATGGAAGTTTATTTTTCCTCCCCTACATGTTTAGAGGGGTCCTGAGTAAAAGATGAGAACGACTACCTTAAAATTTAGAGGGAAAGAATGGAATACAGAACACAGGAATATTTAGTCTTTGACCTTGACAGTTAATTCCTTGACTTAAAAGGAACGTAAAGAGGATGGGTGGTGTGGTGTCTAAATGGGGTGTCTCGATCAGATGGGGGCCCCTAAATGTGGGGCAACGATAGGGTGAAAGTGGTGGCGGGAGGTGGGAGAATTCACCTGAGGTGGAACAAAGAAGTTGATTGAATGCAGTGCTAGAGAATGGCAGGCAGGATTGCTGTTTGCCGGGAGGAAGTAGGGGCTGGTGAAAAGGTTGGGGACAAATAGGATCATCCCTTTTTTGGTTACTGCCTAGTTGTAAGTAGCTCATGGGTCAGTAAGAGCCTGTGGGTATTTTGAGGTGGGTTGCCCAATGGGCCTGTTTATTCGGGGAGGGGGGGGTTTTGCTGTGGACCCTTTCTACATTCCATCGCCCAAGCCTGTTTGCTTAAAAGTGGCCTCTACAGATAAGATTGGGTCTATTAAGTACATTATAGAAGTTGAGGAAGTTCCCATCTGATAGGTTCTGTTTTTAATCTACATATTTTCATTTTAATAATACTTATTTAAAAATCTTTCTTGGTGGGGGCACCTGGGTGGCTACGACAGTTAAACCTCTGCCTTTGGCTCAGGTCATGATCTCAGGATCCTGGGATCGAGCCCCAAATTGGGCTCTCTGCTCGGTGGGGAGCCTGCTTTCCCCTCTCTCTCTGCCTGCCTATCTGCCTACTTGTGATGTCTCTCTGTCAAATAATAAAATCTTTAAAAAAAAAAATAAAAATAAAAATCTTTCTTGGTATAAATTACTGAAAGACATTTAAAATTTTGTGGATTCTGGCTTCAGGTCATCTTAGAAAGTGATGTTTATACCAAGATTGTAAATTCGGTATCCAGTATTTTCTTAATCTTCATATTAAGGTTAATTGTATATGTCAACTTGACTGGACATAGGGTACCCCATTAAACATTTCTGGGTGTGACTGTGAGGGTGTTTCCAGAGGAGATTAGCATTTGAATCGGGGTGTACTAGAAGATGGACCTCCCCTGCGTGGGTGAGCCTCATCCAATGTGTTGAGGGCTTGAATGGAATAGAAAAAGCAGAGGAAAGAATTCACTCACTCTGTCTACTTGAATTGCCACACCTGTTATCTACCCTTAGATTCAGACGGAATTACACCACTGGCGTTGCTAGGTTTCTGTTTGTAAATGGCAGGTCACCAGACAGCCTCCATGATCATAAGCCAGTTCCTCAATATATGTGGCTTCTCTTTCTCTCTATGTCTCTCTCTCTCTCTCTCTCTATGTTTTTGCTCTCTATATAATATCTCCTCTCTCTATATAATATATATGATAATACATTGATAATTTGTATCATATATTCTATTTTTAAAAACAAGGTATATTAGGAATCTTAAGAGATACAGATATCTTTTGTTATATAGATAACCTAGTATCTAACAGAGGATAGATACCTCCTGTTTGAAGATCCCTGATTAATACACTTTATGCTTTTTTTTTTTTAAGATTTTATTTATTTATTTGACAGAGATCACAAGTAGGCAGAGAGAGAGAGAGAGATAGGAGGAGGAGGCAGGCTTCCTGCCTAGCAGAGAGCCTGATTCGGGGCTCGATCCTAGAACACTGAGATCACAACCCAAGCCGAAGGCAGAGGCTTTAACCCACTGAGCCACCCAGGTGCCCCCACTTAATGCTTTTTAAAATAAAACTATAATAATGCTCCTTAAGAAAATTCAGGTATAATAGGAATATGTAATTTGTAAATGAAAGGCTAAGTTCACAAAAGAGCACTTGTTATCATCTTAACAATTTGGTATGTATCCTCCACCATTTTTATTTTATTAGAGTTATACATGTATATGCTTCAAAGCCAAAAAGTTCTCCACAACTT